CGTAGCTAATTTTTCAATCTCTCTGTCTACTCAAAATTACCTAATGTCTCTACAAGCATAAATATATTCTTATATGATGCAATATGTTTTGTATTACTTTATGTAATATATTTTGCCTTTTATTTAATAATATACGTATATGATACAATGCTCAATAGAGTATACTTAATTAAATGTGGGACATTCCTTTTGATCTGGAACTGAGTTAAGTCTTGCAGACCTTGCTACGCAAACTGAGTTATCGTTACGCCTTTTTGAAGGCGAAGAAGTTTTTAAAATAACCTTTTTATTTAATCTGAATTTTTAACATAAAAGGCACGACTTGTGTTACAGGCTTATCATCTCTCGTGGCAGTATAAAGTGAGATATAACAGTCAATTAGATTTAAACGTTGATAAAGTAGTGTAAGACTACACATTCAATAAACTAAGCTGGCTCAGTTAATATTTTCGGCTAAGTATAGGCTGCGACAAAATGTATAAGCTGGAATAATCACTTTTAGATAGAGCTGGCGCATTCCTCTCTCTGTCTAAGATTCAAAACTTTCAGGAAACAAAAGCGGAGCAAACCTCAATTAAGCAAAGAAGCAATCAAGAGATTCTTCAGAATCGCTGCTAGAATAAGCAGAAACTTGTATTAGATAAAGGGTGCTACTTTGGTAGACGGTTGCACGGATTTTTGGCGATTTACGTTGGCGCAATTGTTGGCGCGATTTCTACAAACGTCAGCCATCTTGAAAAACGCTGTTTTTACGCATAGTAAAGTATTCAAAACTTTAAAAAATAAATAAATAAATAAATAAATAAATAAATATCGTTAGAAATAATGGATTAATTTTTTTGTGTAAAATGTCGTTTTTTAAGATGGCAGGCAAGTGTAAATAAATACATTTACTATGAGTATAAAATACTAAAGTAAGGTTATTATTACTTTCATATAGCAAAGAAGAGAAATAAAAACACCGCTATAAAAACATTGTGGCAACGTTTAATTAGAACGTTAATTCAAATATTACTGAAATTGAATATCGAAATAAAAAACATCATCCAACATTTAAAAGAATTAGAATATTATTAAATTTAAATACTTTAAATACGTTAAAATACGTTATATATAATATATATATATATATATATATATATAGAATAAATACATTTACTACGAGTATAAAATACTAAAGAAAGGTTAAATTATTACTTTCATATAGCATAGAAATAGAATAAAAAATACCACTATAAAAACATTGCGCCAACGTTTAATTGGATTAAAATATTACGTAAGTTGAATATCGAATTAAAAAAACCATCATACCAACGTTTTAAAAGAATTAAAATATTACTTAAATTAAATACTTTAAAATATGTAAATAAAAACGCTTCGTACACTAGAGTTAAAATGACAGCAATTAGTCTATTGTCGGTAAAAAAGGAGGAATGTCTAATAATTTTCTTACCGTTACAGCGGTTATTTCTTCCAACATGACCACAATATCATATACGGCCGTCTCAGAATCGGCTCTCCTAATGGTCTTCATTTGTGATCTACATTTTCGCACTTCATTGAAGAAACAATTAGCGACGTTTCCTCCAAAACTTTAAAATAAATTTCCTCTGACCCTTGTAAGAATTTATAAATAAATCTTTGATTAGGAAAGCCAGGCTGGCGAAAAAAGGTCTCAAAGGACAATTTTTTGACTCCGAAACCAAAAATTCTTGGTACTTATCAAAAACAACATTCATCTTTGAAGGAGACAATTTTGAAGGAATTCGAAGATATGAATTAAATTTTAAAATGGCGCGGTAATGCACAAATTTTCAGCAACCTATCAGGGAGCTGATTACAGCTCATTAATGCACAAATATTCTATAACCAATCAGAGAGCTGATTACATCACGCCTAGAATTAAAATTATTTAAATAATCATACATAATAAAATCATTTTAAAAAAGAAATGCAAAATTAAATTGTATTTTAATATTTAACAGCCATAAATAATGTTTAAAAACATTAGATTAAATTTATAGATATTAAAACCAATTACTTTTAAAGTAAGGCGACGTCACTGATTACATCATCCACAGCATAAAATTTCATAAAATATGATAAAAGAATAAAATTTTTAGTTCAAATAAAAATGCAAAATTAAATAAATTGATTTAATATTTAGAAGCCATAAATAATATTTAAAACACGGAATTTATGCATAATAATACGCATTATTTTTTAAATAAAATGTCAACAAAGTATCGGTTACCATAAATAACTTATCCAGCAATGGGTTTACCATAAGTCGTATTACTCGCCAAAAGAAAAATTGCCAAAAACTCGCCAAAATCCGTGCAACCGTCTACCAAAGTAGCACCAGATAAAGTAAAGAAAGGAGATTTCTGCCTGAAAAATTAACTACTGTGGATTTTCTGGATTTGCTAAATGTCTATATGCAAATGCTAATCCTGACCCAACTGTCATATATTTATTGGGCTTTGGTCCTGCATGAAGGAAAGAGGGAAAATATTAAATTATTGCACATAGAACTTAAGATAAAAAAAAAAAAAAAAGATTTAAAAAAAAAATCCTAGCGCCGAAACGTAATTTCACGCAGATTACTTTCCATGTGTTTCACTCTTATGTAAAAACATTTAAAAGATTGTGTATCTGTTATCACTAAGACAGCAAATTTCTGCATAATTTAGTTCTTTGCGCAAACTTAAACTGGAGTTGTTTTACAAATTAAACCATGGCTACCATGATACCCTTCCAGCATATTTACAGACATCAAAGAGCATATGTGCAGGGTTCACAATTGTATTCGATTACACTTTAGGTTTACACTTGTGTTTTAAGTTTTATTTGTAAAACTTGAAATAACTTATTCTATTTCCTGTCGATAACTGTATATTATAATAATATAACTCCACACACATTACACAGTTTAAACACATTTATTTTCCATAGCGACACTCAGGCGCTAGGTTCCGCCTTACAGCGTAACATATAAATCGCAATTTCGAATGTACCACAAAATCAAGTTTTTCACAGAATACAATTCAACGCCAATTCCGGCGGCGCATGCGCCATTAGCCAACATTCCGCTCTGGCGCTAAGCATTTCTCAGTTAATACAAAACACTCCCGGCGTTGAAATTCACAATTTAAAAACTATTATTTAAATAAATGTAAATATAAAGGCACTACAATAAATTACTTCACAGTAACAAATCACAATATTGAAAAATATACATTCAAATCATTACGACAAATACCAGTTTATAATAGAAATAAACCATCATTTTACAGGAAGTATACATATATCTCGAACATTTCGTTTCAGCAAATGCTGATTAGGCAATCTTACAGTTACTACTCTTACTTTGTTATCCCTACCATGAAAACCCTCAGCTATTCTCCCCACTAACCATTTGGTTGAAGGCAAATTTTCATCTTTTATTAATACAAGAGTTCCCAACTGAACGTCATCCTTTAAAAATTTCCACTTGTGACGTTCTTGTAAATTATTAAGATAATCACGTTTCCATAATTTCCAAATTTTTTGTGTATACTTAGTGATTCTTTGCCATTTAGAAAGTCTGTTCTCATTTATATTGGATAAATCTGGCTCAGCTAGAGTTGTGATAGGTCTACCAACCAAAAAGTGACCTGGGGTCAAAGTTTCAAAATTATTGTAATCAGCTGAAATTGGAGTAAGAGGTCTTGAGTTCAATACTCCTTCAATTTCAGTTAAAACAGTTAAAAATTCTTCTAAAGTTAAACACTAATTACCAATAACTCTCTTCAAATGACTCTTAAATGATTTAACAGCCTCCCAAATTCCGCCGAAATTTGGCGACTTTGGAGGAATAAATTTCTACTCTATACCTTCAGTGGCATAAAAACTCGCTAAATTCTCATCTGGACACTCAACCAACTTTTGCATTTTTTTTAGTTCTACACTAGTACTAATAAAGGTTTTAGAATTATCACTTAGACAATATCCAGTACATTTTCCCCTTCTAGAGAAAAAACGTTTTAAGCTCGAAATAAAAGATTGGCTAGTTTGGTCTAAGTGTATAGCTTTTGTACTCCTACATACATATACTACGACATAAATTTTGTTCAAAACTCCCTTAAGTTGATTCTTAAACTTTATTGCAAATAAGCCGCAGAAATCAACACCAGTTATGTTAAATAGATATGATGGTGTGACGCGCTCTTTGGGCAACTCGGCCATTATTTGTTGAACTGTGATGGGTTTGTTCTTAAAACATGTCACACATCTGTAGATGATCTTTCTACAATTATTTCTGCCATTGAGTGGCCAGAACCTTTGTCTTACCTGATGTAACAGTGATTGTGATCCTAAATGAAAGTACTTCAAATGAAAATGCTCTAAAATAATAGTAGTTAAACGATGTTTACTAGGTAAAGCTATAGAGTGTTTACTATTAGCGGGTAGGTATGAATAGGACAATCGTCCGCCCACTCTAATTAGCCCCATGTTATCAAGAAACACATTCAGTGATGCTAATTTACTTTTGAGGTTTACACACTTACCTCTTTTCAATTGATTCATTTCCTCACGAAACTCACTTTTTTGGGCCTCTAATAAAATATACACCTCAGCATCCTTTATCTCTTCTAAAGTAAGTACTCTACTCCGTACCTCCTTACCTGAGGGTTCTTAAGATTATGGATAAACCTGAAAATGAAACTTACAATACGAATAAGTTTAGTATAATTAGAAGACAAATTAAGAATATCATTAAAGAGGTTTGCTTCATTACATGCAATTAAAACTAAGTTAGAATCGTTATGCAGTTCATTGTCCTTTTTAAGTTCATTTGGACACACTTCTTCAACTACCTCAAATGATAAGTCCTGACGAGGAATCTCTGAGCATGTTAGAAAGTCACAGCATGACCACCATTTGGAACAGTTCACAAGAAAGTCAATTTGAACACCACGCGTCATAACATCTGCTGGGTTCTCTTTTGTTGAACAATATTAGAACCACTTTGTCGCCTGTGTTAACTTCCTAATCTCGTTAATTCTATTGGTGATGAAAGATTTCCATTTGGTACTGGTACCTTTAATCCAGCATAGCACTATTTTGGCATCAGTCCAATAAAATATTCTCGAGGATTTCTTTTGATCAAGCAATTTTTTCACACCAAAACCTAAACGCGCTGCTAGTAATGCATCAAGTAATTCAAGACGAGGTAACGTAATTCTTTTCACAGGTGCAACACGACATTTTGATGCGACGAAACTCACAGAAATTTCTTCTTGCTTACTACGCAGTTTTACGTAGACAACAGTACCGTACGCCCTCTGACTGGCATCTGAAAAGCAATGGATCTCTATGGAATCGGCTTCGGGATTCAAAATGAATCTTGGAACTGCAATTTTACTTAGATGATGACACTCACAGCACCACTTTGCCCACTCTTGACAGATATCTGTAGGTAGTTCATCATCCCATGTCAATTTTCGAACCCAAAGTTCTTGTAGCAAGAATTTAAGTCTAACAGTAAATGGAGTTATTAACCCAAAGGGATCAAAAATCTTCCCGGCAGTTTTCAAGATGAACCGTTTCGTATTACGCTTATTCTTAAGGAATTCCATCAAACTGTCTGTGTCTATACTCAGACTGTCTTCATTAGTATCCCAAGATATTCCCAAGATCTTAAGTGTCTCGTTTGAGTCATTGATTTTATGTGGATGGATCTCGAAATCTTCTTTTTCCCATTTTCTCATCAGCTCAGGATCATTGGATACCCATTTACGCAAGTTCATATTTGCTGCACTCATAATTTGTTTAGCTTTACGCGATAAGCTTAGAGCCTCATCTATACTGTCCTGTCCAGTAATAAAATCATCAACATAAACACAAGAATTCAATATTTCAAATACATCTGGCTGCTCATCTCGATATTTTCTAATGTGTTCTTTAATTGTTGCAGCCAACAAAAACGGACTTGACTTAATCCAAAAATTTACGCGCTTGAATCTATATGTCGCTAGTTTTAGATCATTTAATTGTGTGTTTTCCACAAACAGGAATCGCACTGCGTCTTGATCCTTTTCTGCCAAAGCAATCTGCAAAAATGCTTTTTCTACTACATCCGCTGAAATTGCAACTTTATTTAATCGGAAATTAATTAGCAGATGGAACATATTAGGATTTAAATTTGTCCCTGTCCATAGACAATCGTTCAGTGATAGCTGCCCGAACTCATGTGAGCTGCCATCAAACACTATTCTAGTCTTCGTTGAAGCACTGGTTTCTCTAAATACCGGTTGGTGTGGTAGGTAAAATACTGGTTTACCGATAGGTATATTTCCATCTGACACTCTTTCAATGATACCTTGCTTGAGATAATCATCTAATATTTCACTATATGTAGAAAACAGTGTTTTGTCATAATTCATTCGCTTTGCAAGAGTTTTTAATCTATTTTCCGCTACTCGGTAATTATCAGCTAATTCCCTCCAGTCCCTTTTCCAAGGTAAAGTAACCTCGTAGCGACCAGCTTTAAAACAAACTGTCTTATTAAATATTTCCAATGCTTTGTCTTCCTCATGACAATAAGGATCATCTTTAATTCCTAATGATTCTAGTTCGAAAAACATTTTCAATTCACTCTCTGAATTATCATTTATTAACCCACAATACGATAAATTATTTCTCCGTGAATCATTTACATTTCCACTAACTATATATCCAAACACACTATTTTGTAATATCAAGCCTGTGTTAGGAACATAGATTTTACCAGCTCGTAACATATCATAAAAAACTTCCGCGCCGAGCAACAGGTTTACTTTCTCTGGTTTATAAAATTCCGGATCCGCTAAATTCACCTTCTCAGGAATCACAAGGTTACTAACATCGATAAACTTTGCGGGAGTTAAACCTGCTATTTTTGGAATTACCAAAACCTCTAGTTTCCTTTTATACGTTTGTTCCTGATTACAGATAAGGGCAACTGCTTTTCTTTTTATCGTAGTTGAAATACCTGATATACTGCAAACCGAAATATTTGTCTTTTCCCTTTTTAAATTAAGTATATCCGCTAATTCAGTGGTACAAAAACAAGAAACACTTCCACTATCACATAACGCTTTCACCTTAATTAAAGTTCCATCATTAGTCTCAATGAATACAAAGGCAGTAGATAAAATCACGTTTTTTTTCCCACTGTTAGTACCCGTAGCGGCTGTAAAGATTTCGTTTTGAGTTTTAGCTTGAAATGCAGGTGCGTGTACATTTAACGCATTGCTGTTTTGATCACCCAACTCCTGATCTAAAGTGTCTGCTCTTTCTACTGTGGTGCCAACGGAATTATTTTCGTTTTCATAACACAAGAGAAAGCTATGTTTTTTTCTTACACTTCTTGCACAAGTAATTAGAACGGCAATTTCTCACACTGTGCAAATTAAAACAACAAAAACATAAATTCTGTTTTTTCACAAATTCTATTCTACCCTTTCTTTTACACTTAATTTCTGAAATTTAGGACAATTAAAAAGCTTGTGATTGCTCAAATTACATAACCTACACGAATTCTGCATATGTTTTTCATTTGCATTAGAAACGACAGCGGTAACTCTATGTGTAACTTTTTTTGTGTTAGTCACACTATTTGAAGCGTTGAGAGTTCTTGCATGATCTTTAAGAAATTCTATAAGATCTGTTAAATTAGGCAAATTCTCTTTCTCTAATTTTCTTTCCCACCATATTTTGGTGTTAGGATCTAATTTTTGCCCTAAAATGTATGCAAACACATTGGAAGAAAAACCGTTAACACTCTGATTTAAAACTTCTAATGATCTCACGCATTCATTTGTAATGTCAATTAAGTTTAATATTGCTGACGCAGACTCATTTTGCATAGGATGCATATTCATAAATCGTCTCAGATGAGCATACACTTGTTCGCGGTGATTAGAGAACCTTTCTTCTAGTAATGAAAAGGCTAATTTATAATTAGAGTCAACTATGGATATTGACTGCACAATACGATAAGCATCTCCTCTTAGCGCAGATTTTAAGTACTGTAATTTGACTGCATCTGTTAAATTAGGATTTGAATCAACACTGGCTAAAAAATATCTTTAAATGAAAGCCACTCATGTAAGTTACCCGAAAACGTTGGCAAATTAATTTTGGGTAATTTAACATTGTTCTCAGTATTCGTGCAAACCAAAGGCTCCGATTTAATTTCTTTGGAAAGTTTAGCTAATTTACGATTTAATTCGACTTCTACATCTAAGAGAAATATCGTCAATCTCTTCTTTCTCTTTTCTTTTACATAAGCATCAATACTTTCTTCCGTACATAACCCGAACAAAGAATCGAAATTAGAATTTATTTCTGTCTCAAACACTTTAAATTTATTCTTTAGTACTTCCAAGTCACTTCCTTGGACATTTTCGTCCGCAACCTTTTGTTTTAACTTTGTTAACTGTGTTTTCAATGTACGTTTTTTCGCTAATACCTCCTTTAGTGACATTTTAATTAGCAAAAGTCAATAAACAAATAAAGAGCTTCAAAAAGGAGGAGGGTACTTACCCTTTTGTTTCTACAGAACTTCAATCTTGAAGTATCCTATATAATTCTTCATTTCACAAACCGAAAGTAATATCACAGTCTCATAAACTTCATTAGCTGCTTCCGGCTCTGATCGGCCACAAAACTTGAAATGACTTATTCTATTTCCTGTCGATAGCTGTATATCATAATAAAATAACTCCACACACATTACACAGTTTAAATACATTTATTTTCCATAGCGACACTCAGGCGCTAGGTTCCACCTTACAGCGTAACATATAAATCGCAACTTCGAATGTACCACAAAATCAAGTTTTTCACAGAATACAATTCAACGCCAATTCCGGCGGCGCATGCGCCATTAGCCAACATTCCGCTCTGGCGCTAAGCATTTCTCAGTATACAAACTCCCGGCGTTGAAATTCACAATTAAAAACTTTATTAAATAAATGTATATAAGGCATACAATAATTACTTCACAGTAACAAATACAAATTGAAAATAGACTTCAATCATTACGACAAACCAGTTTTTAATAAAAAAACCATCATTTTAAGAAGTATACATTATCTCGACATTTCGTCAGCAAATGCTGATTAGGCAATCTTACAGTTACTACTCTTACTTTGTTATCCCTACCATGAAAACCCTCAGCTATTCTCCCCACTAACCATTTGGTTGAAGGCAATTTTCATCTTTTATTAATACAAGAGTTCCCAACTGAACTCATCCTTTAAAATTTCCACTTGTGACTTCTTGTAAATTATTAAGATAATCACGTTTTCCATAATTTCCAAATTTTTTTGTGTATACTTGTGATTCTTTGCCATTTAGAAAGTCTGTTCTCATTTATATGGGATAAATCTGGCTCAGCTAGAGTTGTGATAGGTCTACCTACCAACCAAAAAGTGACCTGGGTCAAGTTTCAAAATTATTGTAATCAGCTGAAATTGGAGTAGAGGTCTTGAGTTCAATACTCCTTCAATTTTCAGTTAAACAGTTAAAAATTCTTCTAAGTTAAACACTAATTACCAATAACTCTCTTCAATGACTCTTAAATGATTCACCCAGCCTCCCAAATTCCGCCGAAATTTGCGACTTTGAGGAATAAATTTCTACTCTATACCTTCAGTGGCATAAAAACTCGCTAAATTCTGATCTGGACACTCAACCACTTTTGCATTTTTTTAGTTCTACACTAGTATAAAAGGTTTAGAGTATCACTTAGGACAATATCAGTTATTTTCCCTTCTAGAGAAAAAAAAAACGTTTAAAGCTCGAAAAAAATTGGCTAGTTTGGTCTAAGTGTATAGCTTTTGTACTCCTACATACATTACTACGACATAAATTTTGTTCAATCCCTTAAGTTGATTCTTAAACTTTATTCAAATAACCGCAGAAATCAACACAGTTTGTTAAATAGATATGAGGTGTGACGCGCTCTTTGGGCAAACTCGCCATTATTCGTTGAACTGTGATGGTTGTCTTAAACATGTCACACGTCTGTATGATCTTTCTACAATTATTTTGCATGAGTGGCCAGAACCTTTGTCTTACCTGATGTAAACAGTGATTGTGATCCTAAATGAAAGTACTTTCAATGAAAATGCTCTAAAAAAATAGTAGTTAAACATTTACTAGGTAAAGCTATAGAGGTTTACTATTAGGGGTAGGTATGAATAGGACAATCGTCCGCCCCTCTAATTAGCCCCATGTTATCAAGAAACACATTCAGTGATGCTAATTTATTTTGAGGTTTAACACTTACCTCTTTTCAATTGATTCATTTTCCCGAAACTCCTTTTTTTTTGGGCCTCTAATAAATAACCCTCAGCATCCTTTATCTCTTCTAAGTTAATACTCCGTACCTCCTTGCCTGAGGGTTCTTAAGATTATGGATAAACCTGAAAACGAAACTTAAATACGAATAAGTTTAGTATAATTAGAAGACAAATTAAGAATATCATTAAGAGGTTTGCTTATTACATGCAATAAAACTAAGTTAGAATCGTTATGCAGTTCATTGTCCTTAAGTTCATTTGGACACACTTCTTCAACTACTTCAAATGATAAGTCCGACGAGGAATCTCTGAGCATGTTAGAAAGTCAGCATGACCACCATTTGGAACAGTTCACAAGAAAGTCAGTTTAAACACCACGTGCCATAACATCTGCTGGGTTCTCTTTTGTTGAACAATAGAACCACTTTGTCCGCTGTGTTAACTTCCTAATCTCGTTAACTCTGTTGGTGAGA